GAGTCCACACATTGAAGAGCAAATCCTTCTATTCGCAGCTCTACAGATCCTGAACCATGCTCAACACCACCTGCATACCCACACCACCGGCTTCCGGTCGAGCGAACGCTGGCGCGTCTTGGCTGCCGCTGCTCACTGTGTTTACTTAGTTTGTTTTAAACTTCTTTATACTCGAATATTTTATAGGAATGTTTTATCTTTTATCTGAACTCCTGGGCCATTGATCTTTCTATCTCCAATTTTAAATCCCAGGTTAAAACCTTTCTGTTCAGGATTGCTTTTAATGACTTTATGGATTAATACTATATTTTATTACTCTTCTGTCTTGTTTTTATAATGTGCCTTTGACACTGTAAGGTGTCCTTGAGTGCTCTGAAAGGCGCCTATAAATAAAAGGTATTATTATTATTGTATGGCTGTTAACGTGTCTATCTGTGTAACAAAAGATGTGTAGATGTCGGTAATACAAACTAATTAATGAAATTAATGTAATTAATTTAATTTCATTAAATTAATGAAATACGGTATTTTACTGTAAAAATGAGAAATTACTTTTATGGTTTGTACCGTATTTTTAACGGTGAAGTGTTTACCGTAAATTTTATGAATTTATTTTTTACAGTGTAAGTCATTTTGCTAGATACAGAAAAGCTGGAAACATGAAATATAATAAAGTATTGGATGTATTAGAAAAAAAAATAATGGTTATGTCTTTATTTTTAAAAAGTGAGTACAATTTGCATAATTATAAAAAATTAAGTCAACCTAACAGTTCCTAGTTACAATGGGTTTACTTACATTATCTTTGTAAAGTCAACTTGTTGCTTTTAAGGCAATTAGTTTACTCGCTTCAAGCAACTAATTACTTTTGACAGAGTAAACTTGGAAGTCCATTGAACTTCTATTATGTTAAACTGACTTGAAACAGCCTGCATAACTTATAAAATTAAGTTAGAACATTATCAACTTAGTTTAATAAGTTACAATAAACTAAAATCATATGCTGTCAGGAATAATTATTCATATAATTTTTTTACAGTGTAGTTAAAGTACTTAATTACTAACATGAACAAACAATGAACACATTTATTACTGTATTTATTCCACTTACAGTGCATTAAATAATCCTAAAAGCACAACTTTGGAGGTTAATAATGCATTGGTAAATGTTGAATTATGATTAAAATGTGCTCATTATTGGTTCATATTAGTCAATATGTTAACTAACACAACCTTATTGTAAGATGTGGTCAAAGCAACAACAACATCATCATAATAAAAGCAAATTACTGCAAAAGTACTGGATGATCTCAAACATGGTTTACTATCAATTTTCTCAATATCCCACGATAAGTAAGTATGAATGTCCAACGATTCGAATGTTATCACTGGATTGAATGGGCGTTATCAGTGGTTATCAGCTGATGGTTATGGGCCAGTAGGAGCCTTCTGCACCTTCTCGTAGGCTCGAAAGGCTGTTCTCGTCCATGCACATGCAAATCAGCTATAGCTCACATACGGTTGCGGCCGGTAGGTATTGAGAATTATTTATATTATTTATAAAATTTATCATTAATTGTATTTTATTAACGTCTACCCCGACCCCAACCCTAAACCCATCCGTCACAGTAATGTAAAAACAGATCTGGAGTCTTCTCAATACTATATTAGCATGGCTGATTAACCATGTGGATGGATGATAACGGCCTTCTGGGGCTACCAGTAGCCGCAGAAGGTCCCTACTGGACCATATCTATCAGCTGATAACCACCAATAACGCCCATTCAATCCAGTGATAGTGTTCGAAGCGGGTGGAATGTCATTAAAGGTTAGTACAAACAAAGACTTATATAATAAAGAAAATGCTTCAGGTTTGCAAGTGCAATACTCTTTATCCAGTTCGAGAGGGCGTTTGGTGTTAAGGTCATATCATATTCTCTGATAATTAATCATAAGTCTGTATATTAGTTATTCTTTGCAGAAAGTCCTGATGTAGTGCTGCCCCAAATGCTAAACATGTTTTTTTTTTTTTTTTTAATAAAAGAAATAAAAAAAGTGTCACCATCACCTTTCAAATAACAAATCTTATAAATTTTTGCATTCCAGATGCTTATGCAAAAATTACATAATAAAAGCTGCGGTAACATTTTATTTGAAGGGGTGTTCATAAGACATGACGGGCCCTATCATCTGGCGCAATAAGGCGCAAGACATGTTTGGCGCGATTTGCTGCTATTTTCAGACCAGCGCAACAGTAATTTTCACATTTTCACCACGTTGTTTAAATAGCAAATCTATTTGCGCAACTCTGTTGACTCATGGGTGTGCTAGTCTGAAAAGGAGTTGTGTTAAGGCTGATTTATACTTCTGCGTCAAACGCCGGCGTATGCTACGGCACTACACGTCGCAACAATGCGTAGCGTAAGCTCTGTGATTAGTCGGCTTGGTAGCGTTGACGAGTCTGGGCGGGACCGAGAGCCGCGCGAATGGCGCGAGCGATTGTTTACAAGTGTGGAGTCCCGTGAAGGAGCTCCGGATGGAAAGTTTTGTTTTGCTTTTACCTCATAGTTAAAGTTGTTGCACGTCCGCCAGTTCCTGCCTCAAAATGAGCGAGTTTGAGTCACTTGTACATCCAGGAAGTGTTCAGGAAAAGCAAAGCAGCAGGGAAGAAACTCGACACAGAGGAACATTAACACTTTACTACCAACTAGCGTTTCGGAAGTGTTAATGCAGACCAACAGAGACAGCGCGCAGAAGTATAAATGCACAGCTGCGCGCGTTGCACGCGCCGTGAGTAACGCTGGTCACTTGACGCAGAAGTATAAACCAGGCTTTAAGGTGGATTGTTTGTGCGTTGCTAAATTAAGGAACTGAAATAGACAGCATAATTGAATAACAATAAAGCTGCTCTACAGTCCAACGCAGAGCACGTTATGCGCCTATGCTAGGCATAGGATGATAACCAGTTTCAAGGTTTACTGCGGTTTGGAAAAGCTAAGGTTTTAAAACAGCTAAAATGTTTTGTTATACCCTGCGTAAGGTTTATGTAAAGGTTTTTTTATATGTTTTTTTTATTGTTATTATTTTCATTTTAATTATTTAGCCTGACATGTTTACTGTTCTAAAACATTTTAAATCCTTCCTAAAATAAAATATATTGTGTTCAATGGGGCAAAAGGTTTTTTTTTTACTCAAACATTTAAAAAGAACTTATTTTAGAGCAGCAATTGCAAAATCACGAAACCGTGATATTTTTATCCAGGGTTATCATACCATCAGAAACTTACACCGGCCCATGCCAAGCCTATGCTGGTCCAAAAATCTATACACATTGCTGAATACACACAGAATGTACAGCAATACACAAATATCTTTACAAATAAAAAAAATTAAAGGATTAAAATGTTACAAAAAATGATTATTTTTTAAATATAACCACCACTGCCTCCATGCCTCATCTCAGGGGGCTTTTTCAGTTTATTCATGACAATCTGCATTAGTATGATGTTATTATTATTAGCAGCATTATCTATTATATGCATATTTATATTTGTTTTAATAAAAACTTGTTTAGATTTGTCCCCCTGTGTGGTTTTGGAGATGTCTGCATCACCATATGGGGCACATGACAGGACGTGTGTTTGGATACACATCGTTATTATTGCTCATTTATTTGTTTGCTGGAGATCAGAACTGAATTTAGTAATAGTTTAGAAAGAAATCTTTGCGCTTGACAAACGAAATTAAATATGTAGGCTAATGGATGTCTTTATTCGAGTGCGTACAACACTGTTTCTTTACCACGAAAGTAAAGGAGTAAAGTAAAGATAAAGTAAAGAGGCTGAATGGAGGAGGCTTGTTCTTTATTCTCACTGCAGATGCTGTTTCACTGGTGTCTCACTAGTGAAGCGTTCAGTTTTTACACTTACAAAGTCCACCATGTAAACAGCAAATGCTCCATAGCGCGTCGCAACTGACTCTAAAAGGGAATGTTAGATGAGACTCTGATTGGTTTAATGCAGGTTGTGCTCAAAACACATCCAGGACTCATTAAGAGAATAAGCACAACCCTGTTACACCATGCGCTAGAGCGCAGAGCGTATTTCTGTGTATTCGGACACGCCCTTAATGCTTTTTCTTTAGACTTTGCATCTACATCGATAAAGTAGAACCTCAAACTTTTATAATCATGACATGACACTATAAATGGCAATGAGATGGTTATGACAACCATCATCAAGCACTGCAAAAATGCTGGGTTCCACACAAACAATTTGTGTTGGGATAACATGAAGGAGTCAGGTTAGCTTATCAGTTTTTTTTACAAATTTAAGTTGAGTGAACATAAACGAATTAAGTTGTCACAAACAAATCCTTAAGAATTGTGTTGTTTCAGCTCATTTTAAATACGTAGTTTGAACAAACAGCAGACACTTTTTTGAGTGAGTGTCATTAGCTCAGTTATGTCATTTTAAATGAGATGATGTTATTAGAAATTTCTTTGTTGAGACAACATTACTTCTGTCATAAACCTGTCATAAACATGACTGTCACAAAACCATTATAGTTATGATTTTTATAACAGCGTCATTAACATACTTTTGACCTCAACTACAGAGTATAAATTGAATTTATCATTAAAATGTAAATAATAATGACACCATTTTAAAATTATTTGAAAAGTATTTGACACACTTATTGAGAATTTGTAATGCCAAAATCATTCACCAAGTACTAAAAGTGATCAGAAAAATATTAATGACACTATAAACTATAATGACACAATGTTTATGACAGGTTTATGACAAATTTTGTTAACAAGCGAACATCCTTGCATTTAAAATGACATAACTGAGCTAATATGTTAATCACAGTTGTCATAAGCATGCATAGAATCTTAGAATACATAACCTGTCATGATTATAAAGGTTTCTTGAACACCCCTTTATCATGTAAAATGTTACCAAAGCTGTGAGCGCGAGAGAAGACCTGCTACTTTATTCAGTATCCAAAATGCTTTATTTCTACATGTATTTTTGTTCTGACAATGTTCATGGCTGCTGCATAAGAGTTCTGACTCCCCAAATAACGACCACCAATAAAGTCATTTCTCCATGATGAGGTAGAATCCAAACATTTCTGTGAAGACACTTTGATAATTAGTATGGGAATGTATACAAAACCAAAAATATAGATTTGTATATGCACATAAACTTTAGCAAATTAAAAAGCGCATTAAAAGTGACAAGAGTGACGTCAGGATAATCAACAAACTGCGTTCACAATCGCATCATAAACTCCAGCTCTAGACAAAACTGTGCTTAAACATTTCCAATGACTGTAAACGTACAAACGTCCACAGCTGGCAGAGAAAACAGCCAGCAAAAAAAGGCTCAATGCATCAAAACTGCTTCTGTTGAACCAGCAGAGAAAGAAAAAAACAACAACGCAGAAATAAAGCCGATGCATGCAAGAGGAATGTCTGATTCACTGCACAGTCCATGTTTTCAGCTGTGTGCCTACAGGCGGACAAACATACATTTTATTCACATATGTCTGTGCATTGCACTTTGAAGGGAAGGTTATTTATATATATATATATATGACACAACATTAGTGAGAGTTTATCTTTACATTCATGATATGCAAGAGGCCCTAAAAGGGAATGTTAAGAGTCTTTGTGCAGAAACAAAAGAAGGCAATTGAAATCAAAGAAAGATATATATATAAAAAACATACAAATATTTGGGTAAATCTCACAAAAACATCTTCAGGTTGCATTTCACACACATTTTTTCCTAAATTCTCATTACCATTTTATTCTTTTTTTATTAAATATATATTATACTATACATCATTTTAAATTCTAATTAAGCTGAATTAATTTTGTCAATTATTTTTGTTGTTGCTGCACTACGGTACTATATTTATATTGAAATTAATTAAAGGAAGTGCCCTTTTATTATCTTTATTACTCTTATTTTATTAGTTTAAATATATAAATGTATACACCTATAGTGGAATAGTGATATATTCACTATAGTAAAGTGACCACTTTTCAGTTTCTTATTTATAAATTTGTGACATGTAAAACGTTTCACACTGGTTAAACTTACAAACTCAAGTTCACGAGCTGCCTTGTAAATGTGAGTCAACTCAGCTTAGAGAGAGATTCTTTGTTTTCACTTAAGATGTTAAAATTCACAATATATTTACCTAAAACGCAACATCTTAAGTTGAAATCTCTTTAGGTTGAGTTGACTCACATTTTCAAGGCAGGTGGTGAACTTGGGTTTGTAAGTTTAACTAATGTGAAAGTTTTACAGTGATATACATTATCCTGCACATTCTGTAACATAATTTCAGACATGTTTATTGATTTTAAGACAACACAAAAATTTAGCAATATTGAATGAAATAATCCTTATTTTCAAGTTTTATGTCTACATCTCGTTTTATTGTTATAAGATTCAAACTAATTATTAATTATTTCAAATTTGGAAGAAACGATAAACAAATCTTCATTGAATAAAAAAAAAACTATGGATTTAAATTCCTATTAAGCTGAATAATTAAGTTCAAAGAACCTTAATACATATTTGCACTACAGTGATATAATTATTTTGTAATTAGTTAAAGGCAGTGCACTTTTATTATGGTTCAAATGTATAAATATAAGCATCTATAAGAGGAGAAAAAAAACAATCAATGGACCACTTGGAAATTCTCAGTTTCTCTGAATTTATGATTTATAATTATGTGCTTAAGCAAAAGAAAATATCTATTTTTGTTTCTGATCATATTTCTTGCAAATTCAAAATGTTGTCATTTAGAGCAAAATTTCAGACATGTTTATATTCAATATAAGACAATTTAGTGGAATATGTTTTTATGTTTAAATCTTGATTTATTTTTTAACATTTGGGCCAATTTTTAATTATTTAAAAATTGGAAAAAACATTAATCAGACCTTTAAAGAATATAAAATAAAAATAAATTATGCATTTTAATTCTCATTAAGCTGGATTAATACGTTCCTGGCACTTTAATACATATTGCTTTACACTACAGTGATATTAATATTTTTCAATTAATTAAAGGCAGTGCACTTTTATTATAGCTAATAAAAAATTAAAAAAGATTCAAAAGACCACTTAGAAATTCTCAGTTTCTCTAGATTTATGATTATGGATTTATGTTTATGATTTATATTTATGTGGATAGGTAAAAAAAAAAAAAGTTCTGTAAACTCCTAATCATATTTCTGCAAATTCAAAGCATCGTCATTTAGAGCAACATTACAGACATGTTTATATTTAATTCATGACAACGGAATAATTTAGCAATAAAGTGATAATAATCCTTATTTTCATCAAGTTTTTATGTTGACTTTTTTTCATTAAGTGTTTTAAATTTTTTATAACATTAATCAGACCTTTATAAAAGTAAAAAATAAAAATAGTGATGATTTTAATTCTCTATTAATCTGAATAATTAAGTTCCTAGCACATTAATACATATTTGCACTACGGTGATTTAATTATTTTTTAAATGAATTAGAGGCAGTGCACTTTTATTACAGTTTAAATATATAAATATATACAGCTAGGAGAAAACAAAACATTCAAATTAATCCAGTTTCTCAGGATTTATGCATAACAATTATGTGCTAAAGTGAAACTCCTGCAAAACTCCGAATAATATTTCTTGCAAATTCAAAATGTTGTCATTTAGAACATAATTTTAGACATGTTTGCTACTTTTATGACATTTATAATTTATATTTATGTATTTATGTATGTATTTATTAAGTAATATATATATATATATATATATATATATATATATATATATATATATATATATATATATATATATATATATATATATATATATATATATATATACATATATATTAAGGGTGTAGCCGAACCCGAATGCGGTATTCGGAAAGGCACGAATAGCGTGTTTTTCCGAATACTTATTTCGAACAAATACTTGAAAAATTGTTTGTATTCGGGAGCAAGAAAAACACTATATCAAAAAGCAGCGNTTCGTCAAGGGACCACAGNGCATGNCCGCGNGANNGAGNGA